ATTCAACATTCCACTAAACCATCGTCTATAGTCTGCCAACCAATGTACATGTAAGTCAATTATATATTTATAGAACAGCTAGAGCACAAATCAACTATATAGTGACCTACAATGATAGATGAATAAAGCCATAATCTACACATTCTACAAAACTCTTTTCCATTATGTGCTCTTTTTTCTTTCCCACAACCTATGACTACTACCGTATTTTTTGGAGTATAAAATGCACCTTAGTTTTTGGGGAGGAAAATAAGAAAAAAGCAGATTGGTGGGTGGATCGGCCTCCCGGAATACCCCCAAGCAGCTGTTCTCAGAGGTGAACTTTAGCAAGGGGTTCGTTGGTTGTGAGCTCTGTGCCTTGCTTTTTTTTCTGCCTCTTAAACTTCTGAAACTCTGTTTCAGAAAAAACTTTTTTTTCTGCCTCTGAAAGCCTCTGAAACAGCTTCAGATAAAAAGGCTTTTTTTCTGAAGCTATTGGTATGTAGATTAACATCTTCCGATCTGTTGGTTATTGTGTCATTCTCCAGATTTGTTAGCATAGTTTGGTTAGAACCTTTACTGATTTGTCTTCTGTTGCTTGCCTTTCTGAGATTTTTTTTCTGAAGCTTCTTTCAGAGGCTTCTTTCAGCCTCTGAAATCTCCGTTTGCGAGGCTGGGTGGGGCTACATTCAGGGTATAAGATGCACCCAGATTTTCACTCTTTTTTGGGGGGGGAAAGGTGTGTCTTATACTCCAAAAAATACGCTATATATATAGCTATATCAAAAGGACAACACTCCAGGTCAAGTGGACTTCAGTCCATACCAAGATATGCCAGGGGGTAGGATAAAGTGCTTTGAATGTTGCTGGACACTGCGGGAAAATTTAATTCACCAACATCTGGAGAACATTAGGTTTCCATTTTTGTCTTCTGTAACAAAACATTTTTTTAATGTCATAACATTCTGGTTAGGGTAAAACCACAGTTGAAAAATGTACACCGAGGCTCCTCAGAGAAATGTGAAAGAACTTCAAGAAAAAGTTTCCTGTTTGGTTGGTTGATTTTTGTGCGTGCGTGTAAGCACATGTATGCTATCTGCTGGGAGGCCAATTCTTCCCACTTACTATTATTGCTAATCAGTTCCACATCTGAAAAAGAACATGTAAGTATTTGTGCCGAGGAAGCAGTGATTACTTTTATAGTTCATATCGTTTTAGGCACATTTCCCTATCAAACATTACTTACTATATCAAATTAATTAACAGGACACAAAGTACAAATTATTTCTATACAGACACATACTGGTATAGATAGATAGATAGATAGATAGATAGATAGATAGATAGATAGATAGATAGATAGATAGATAGATAGATAGATGTATATATGTGTGTGTGTGTGTGTGTGTGTGTGTGTGTATATGTATATATCCTTAGTCTCCCAATGGGCAGGAGGGAGCTTGCTGGCTGCTGGAAAAAAAGCCTAGAAACTAGTGGATTGGGATTTCACTGAACTACATAAAAATCTTGGTTTACATAGGAAGAACCTGGCTAAAGAGAAATACATACATACATACATACATACATACATACATACATACATATCAGCATTAATAATAACGCAAATAAAGAAGACCAGAAGAAAAAGCCATGAACATTGTAAACAGAATAATTCCCTTCAAATTCACGTTGTTTACTTGCCCTTTTGTAAAACAATCACACTAATTCAGTTGTTGGCAAATGATAAATATCAACAATCCGTCATGACAAATTATTTCCTTTTCAAATCTGACAGTATTTGCCTAGCGACTTAGTACAGTTGTCCCACATCAAGTACTTGCCATATGGAGCCAGAATCAAGTTTATACTTTGGTTGTTGACACAGTTCTGTACTAGGCTGTGCCGGGGTGGAAAAGGAAGAACAACGAAAAGAAAAGACTGCTTATCTCCTTCTTGGACTTGGAGGCTACATCCTACTAAGAATAGTTAAACAAAGTGTGTTTTTAAGGAAGCAAAGGCTAAAAGGAGACATGATAGATAGCAAATATTTTAGGGGCTGCCACAGACAAACTTTACTCTACAGCAAAGGCACTGAGTAGAAACTTAACAGAGAGAAATCCAAACTTGAACCAAGGAGGAATTTCCTGACAGTGAGAGCCATTAAATAGCCTGAAGCTGTGGGTCTCCATCCATGGAGGCTTTTAGGAAAAGTCTGGACAGATATTAATCTGGGAAAGTATGAGGATTCCTGTCCTGGGCAGGAGGTTGGATTAAGAGACCTCCCAAGTCCCTTCCAACCCTAGAATTCTCCCCTTGTTGTTTTCTCAATTAATATTAGCATGACCCAGTGGTGTGTTGCCCCCAGTTTGGACCGGTTCGCAAGAACTGGTAGTAAAACCGGTGGGAGCAGGGGTGAAATGCTCCCGGTTTGGACGGGATCACCAGATCGGAGAACCGGTAGCAAAAATCCCTGCACACACACACCCACACACACCATGCCCAGCTGAGCCACACGATCATCAGAGGCTTTTTTTTATTACTTTTAAAAGCATTTTTTTCTGCAACCTCTTGGCCGAAGAGGTGGTAAAAAAATGCTTTGAAATGTCTCTGACGATCCCAGCTGAGTTGCCTGATCGGCAGAGAGGTATTTTTTAAAAAGCCTCTCTGACGATCCCAGCTGAGTTGCCTGATTGGCAGAGGCTTTTCAAAGCATTAGAAAAAATGCTTTGAAAAGTTAAAAAAAAAAGTTGGCCATGCCCACCCGTCACATTACCCCCCAAGCCACGCCCACAGAACCGGTAGTAACAAATTTTACATTCCACCCCTGGGTGGAATGACCCGGACGTCATCATAAGTGATCTGCACATGCACAGAAGAGCGTGCGGGCACGATGTGAACCAATAGTAAAGGTAAGTAGAGCCCACCCCTGGCATGACCAGCTGTAACAGGTAGAAAGGCAGTTTAGGTTGCCCTAAACAAGGTGTTGACAGTTTTCAGGCTACCAGACTTAGCCTTGAGTTCCACTATAGAAATGAATGGTATCTAAAGCAGGAAGCACTTCTGTAAGTGTATAATAAGTAGCAGGCTCCAGGAAGTCAGTCTGGTGTAGTGATTAAGTACTAGGCCAGAAACTGGGAGATTGTGAGTTCGAGGCCCTCCCTTAGGCAGGAAGCCAGTTGGCTGACCTTAAGCCAGTCAATTTCTCTGAGTCTTAGGAAACAGGCAATGGCAAACCACTTCTGAAAAACCTTGCCAAGAAAACTTCAGAGAGCTGTGTGCAGGCTGTCTCCACTGACTCAAAGGTACACACACAAAAATACTTCTAGGAAGCATTCAACTACAGTCTTGACTGGAAATTGAGACAAGGGAATCTCTGAGGGTGCATTGCCTAGGAATTTCAAAACATAACTCATATGGAAAAAAAAAACCTGTTTCTGGTTTTCTTCATTTAGGTTCCCCTCACACATATATGCTAGTCATTCCCGACTCTAGGGGGCGATGCTCATCTCCGTTTCAAAGCCAAAGAGCCAGCACTGTCTGAAGATGTCTTTGTGGTCATGTGGCCAGCATGACTAAATGCCAAAGGCGCACGGAACACTGTTACCTTCCCACCAAAGGTGGTCCCTATTTTTCTACTTGCATTTTTTACATGCTTTCAAACTGCTAGGTTGGCAGAAGCTGGGACAAGTAACGGGAGCTCACCCCATTATGTGGCACTAGGGATTCGAACTGCTGAACTGGTGACCTTTCGATCGACAAGCTCAGCGTCTTAGCCACTGAGCCACCATGTCCTTTCTTCATTTACAGCAGCCTTATTGCACTCCTGCTGATGCTTCCTTCAAATAAGATGCAATTAGACATCACTGTCAATCTGCAAATCATTCAGTCAGATTTACCACGAGATTCAGATCATTTTCACTTCACTTCCTGATCATTTTGAGCTTCATGGTCTGTTCTTACTTAATAATCTTAATGGACTTCCGATATCGGAGATGAACTGCAGAATTGTTTCAACTTCTCTTACTGCTCATCTTAACCACAAGGGAAGAAGAATATTAGTTGTTCAACACAGACAGTGAGAAATCCTGCCCTGTCATCTTTTTCCACCCAGGACCTTTAGCTGCATCACCATACTCTTTCGATGGGGTAATAATACCCTTGCTGACCCAACTTGCTAACAAAAATGTACAGCACAAGGGGAGGAGGAAATAAATTTTGAGGACATTGAAGACAGATGAAATTTTAGGACCCTTCCAAAACAGCATGTGAAATGGAATAAAGTATACACAGTTAGGTTCTGTCACCAATTAAGCAGGAAAACCTGATTATTTTCTGGAATTGGTGAAAACGCTGGACAGGAAATCAAGCTAAGTGTCGCATCTTAGTTACCTGGGTGTTCTCGTACTCATCTGAACAGCAAGGGGAGAAAAATTGCCTTACTCCCTCCGCCTAGGAAGAGTATGGTAGATTTGGGGCTAGAGTCTAGAAACAGCGAGAGATGCAAGATTAAATAGCTTGTTTTCGCCAACTCTCAATTCCAGGAAGCCGGTAGAAATTAGAGCCTCGATATAAAATCTCCAGAGAAGTTTCTGAGAGAGAGAGAGAGATGCTGTATAGCTTGTGCCTAAAGGGAAGAGGGGGGGGGCGTGCCAGAGTCTGAAGCAATCCCAGCTCCTTAATACTTTAAAGCACGTTCTTCTGCTGACGTCAGCATCGTACTTCGGCGAAAGACGGCGGGACCTCGAGCTGCTGCTGAAGCGTCTTGAGAAAGAGATCCCGCTCGCAGCCTTAGAGGGTCCGAGTTACCGTCGGAGGAAAGCAATGGCCTTCTAAGCAAAAGCCAGGCACTTTAAAGCAGGTTGTCCCAAGCTGCCTCCAGCAGAAGAGACGCGGTGCAATGGGGACAGCCTGGGAATTTTTGGAGGCGGCAAGTGGAGGGGAGGAGGAAGAGGAGGGGAAATTGCCTTGGCTCCGCCCGGCGGGTTAGATCTCCGCCCGATTCCGTCCCGATTCTGCCTTCTTCCCTAGGAGCCTCCCGGTCAAGTATCTGCCGAGCGCTGAACTCCTCGATTCCGCGTCGACGGGTGAGTCCTCGGGCGAGGGAGTGCTGGAGGGGAGGTGAGGGGAGGCCGTCGGGGGTCGAGGCTGGCTATAGAGGCCAGCGCGTGTTACTTCTCCACTCGCCTCTTCGAGACGCGGCTGGTTTTCTCTTCTAGAACCCCGGCCTTAAAAAGCTGTAAAAACTTCTTTTCAAGAACGAGAAAGTGCCTTTCCAATGAAAAGCCTATCGCTTTCTTCGATTTACCGATTTTCTTTGATGAGGAGAAAGAAGTGGGATGGGGGAACACGGATAGAATCGAAGGAGGGCGGCACTTGAACACTCCCTCCGCTTTCCTCTCTACCCTAGACCAGGTGGCCGCACAGAAAGGTTCGCAAAAATACCCTAACCTGGTGAAGTTAAGGAAGGTAACTTCTCAGAGAGAAAATCTCAACAGCCAGAGGTGTGTTCATCTGCCACACTGATGGCTGATGATTTTAGTGTCCACAAAAGGTGTAAAAAAAAAAAAAACTAAATTCAGTTTCTATTTGTATAATCAGAACTCTAGAGAAGTGCCAGGTATAACAATAACCGCCAAACTCCCAATGACTTGCAACTGTATATTTATTTTCCTAATAAGAACATTAGCCAAGTTTTCATTCTGCTCAACCAACTAGCTTGTTATTTAAAAAACAAAATGTTTGGGATACCCATAGAGTAAGCTATAAGACACAACTACAGTTAACCCAACTCTGCCCGTAAAACAGATTCTTACACTGAGCAATGAATTGTTAGTCCTTTACTTAAACCATTCATTTTCCTTTGTCAAAGGAATTCAAGACTCTTTTCTTTTCTGCTTTGATATAAATGTCTTATCTCAAACTATCTCCAGGCAGGTTGTACAGCCTAGATTACTTTATGTATTATCAACATAGGTTGCCTAGAGGGGATTGGAACCAATCTAAAAATAAGAGATGATAGGAAATGCAAACTTACCTAGAGTGCAGTTCCTTTTTCAACATCGGCAGTGCTTCTCCCTGCATGACTGCTTACTGATAACCTACATCTACAGTACATAAATCTTGCACAAGAGCGGTGAGCCTTTAGGTGTAAAATCAAAAAATCCTCTGTGAAAAAAAAACTTTAGTTATGGGTTGTTTTGTGGTTTGAACCTTCAGCCATATAATGATAACTGGGGGAAAATTATTTGAAAGGGTCAGGAAAAAGGGGACTAGAGACTAAAACATATGAAGAACGGTTACATGAACTGGGCATGGCTAGTCTAGCAAAGAGGAAGACCAGGGGAGACATGATAGCAGTATTCCAATACTTGAGGGTTTGTAATAGAGAGGAGGGGAGTAAAACTGCTTTCCAAAGCACCTGAAGGCCAGACAAGGAATAATGGATGGAAACTGATCAAGGAGAGATTCAACCTAGAAATAAGGAGAAATTTTCTGACAGTGAGAACAGTCAACCAATGGAACAGAAGTTGCCTTCAGAAGTTGTGGGAGCTTCATCACTGGAAACTTTCAAGAAGAGACTGGACTGCCATCTGTCAGAAATGGTGTAGGGTCTCCTGCTTGGGCGGGGGTTGGACTAGATGACCTACAAGTTCCCTTCCAACTCTGTTATTTTGTTATTCTGTTAAAAGGAAAGACAAATGTCATATTTTTCCATGCAGCATCACTCATCCATGTTCTCTCTCTCTCTTTTCAGCTGTAATGCAATGGTAGAGTATTCTGGATGGATTGCTGAGCCACATAGAACAGAAAAGCTGAGGTAGCTTCTGATAACAGGATTCTGCTTTACTCCTACCTCCTTAGTATGGGCATATCATTTCTTGTTTGCTTCATTCTTGGACTGTTGCCTATAAGAATCACTGGGAAGACCTGGAAATGCCAACATATCTCCTATAACTTGACCCGAGATTATACAGTAAAATATGACTTCCCTACGTTCAGAGCTACGTCTGCGATCCAGAATATGGTTACCTATGAGCCTGGTAATGTTATTTTTGTTGCAGTTCAGAATAAGATTTACACATTGAACTCAGAACTGAAAATTCTGTCTACTCTAGTGACTGGGCCCTGGGGGAGTACTGAGTGCGAGATCTGTGCTCTCTGTCCAGTGAAAGGGCCAGTGGATTTTCAAAACACAGACAACAAAGTTTTGGTGATGGATCCTGTTGAACCTTGGCTTTACAGTTGTGGAAGTTCTCAACATGGCATCTGTTTCCAGCATAGGATTGAGATACAGGGTGACATTGTTTTGCTTGGGGAAACCTCCTGCTTGTATTCGCCTGAGCAGAACAGGCCTTCTGAGTGTCCAGACTGTGTGGCCAGTCCCTTAGGCACAACACTTGTAGTTGTTGATATGCGATCTGCTTCATACTTTTATATTGGATCTACCATCAACACAACCATAGCAGACACATACAGCCCCAAATCAGTGTCAATACGGAGACCAAAGAGTACTTTGGATGGGTTTGCTTATCCTTTCCACTCCTTAACTGTGCTGCCGGAGTATCAAGACACATACTCTATTCACTATGTGTATTCCTTTCAATACCAGAAGTTTGTCTATTTTTTGACAGTCCAAAGGGAAGATCCTATTTCCAATTCATACCACACTAGGATAGGACGACTTAGCACTGAAGAGACTGAGGTTCACAGGTACCGAGAGCTGAACTTGGATTGTCGCATTCAATCTAAGCGGAAGAGGAGCCTGAGCATAATGCCTAAAGATGTAGTTTTTAATGTCTTGCAGGCAGCTCATGCTACCAATCCTGGTTCCATGTTGGCTCAAGCAATCGGTACCAGTGAAAGAGAACTGGTTCTCTTTGGTGTGTTTGCTGAAAGCCATCGGGACAGCAAAGTGCCTCAGAAGTACTCGGGCGTTTGTGCTTTTCCTCTGCATATGATCAATAAAGCTATTGAAACAGGGATGACGAAGTGCTGCAGTTTGGACGTTCATGACAAGATGCTTCGAGGACTAACGTTTTATCAACACATGGAGTACTGCCCACATAATGTGAGTCCTCATCAAGAGTTTTCTGCTTTCATATATACTGTATATTATATAGATTTCTTAGGGGTAGTGAGATAGCTATTTTAGTAGAGTTATTACAATTAAAAAAAAACAAAAACCCAAATATGCCAAATTTTTATAAATAAAAATTGTGCTGTTTTGTTTTATGTTTTATTAGATTTATTTATAGATTTATATTAGATTTTGGTGCTGTTGGTACCAAAACTTCAGTACAAGTATCAGAGAGGCAGCAGAGGGATTAATTGAGCATTAGTAGTACAGGTGAGTTTAGTTTTGAACTCTAGTACAAATCTCATCTTGGTCTGTCACAACACACTTCTGAAATGACATAATTTGACCTTATGTACAGTCCAAAATAACCTTTTTGTTGATCCCTCTTTATTTGGATAACATTTGCAAATCATGACATTGAAAGCTACACATTACCTATAGTTCAATGTTAGTTACCAGATTGTTAAAAATTTGTTCCTCCCGACTTGGTGCTTTCCAGATATGATTGGCTGGAAATTCTGAAATTTTAGTCTATTTGTGTAGTTATGACAATGTCACAATCAAAGAGAATAGTCCTATAATTATAGGGGGGGAAAGGGAGAACTTGATCTTGAGTTGCCGATCATAGCAGTATCCTCAATGAAGTATACTTCTCATTTTTTTTGAGTGTACCCTTGTAAGCTAAGGCTATGAGTGCCACTGTATCAAACCTTTCCTAAATAGCCTCTTCTAAATTAAAGTATTTAATTTTCAGTTAAAAAAAAAACAAAAAACAAAACCCAACTTCCCTCTTATGTTAGTTTTCCACAAAGTATTCCAAGGGGTCTATATTAATGCAGTAATTTCATGGCCTCTACTCAAGGAATTATATGCCAAGATAAATTTGTTTTATTGTCCTTTATTTTAAATGTCTTACAGATAGTTATAATTTTGCTGAGAGATTAATGATTACTGGAAATTGTTAAGATACATTGGGAGCCCTTATGTGAACATATAATAATGTTGCTTCTAGACCAGTGATGTCGAACCTTTTCAGCACTGAGTGCTCAAACTGGAAAGTGTGTTTGCACGCGCATGAGCTTGTGCGTGCCTGAGCACCAGAAACCGAAGACCAGGTGGCTGGTGCGCATGCGCGTGCTAGAAACCAGAAGAGCAGCTGGCAATGGCACGCGTGCCCACAGAGAGGACCCTGCGTGCCCCCTCTGGCATGCGTGACATAGGTTCACCATCACGGTTCTAGACCAAAGGAAGATTTATAATTTCATAAATGCAATTTCTGCTCATCTTTCATCAGGAAAGGAGAGTCATTCAAACATGTGCATAAATGAATGGAAGATGAGTTGCTACTGACACAATAATAAAATATGAAAGAACATGTTAAATTTTTATAGAAAGGGGATAATACTGTAATTATATAGCTTGTGGAGTTACTTTATTTTCAGGCTGCTATTATAAAGAAGATATATTGTTAGATGGGTGATTATATAAATCATTTAGATAATAGATGATCTTTTTACAAGTCTTTGAATTTCTTTTCCATTAATTGAGATTCTTTCCACGCTCTGTGTTCTGTGCATCCAGTATATCTGTCTCATCTTTTAGTGCCTGCCGCATTTTCATGACACCTTGGTAAAATGTAGACTCATGTTTCTTTCAGAAAAGATCAGTAACATTGATGTTAGTTGGTAGTAAATGTATGTCTGGCAATAGTGTTATCCCTTCTGTAAAACATTAATACATCCATGGAGATAAAATTATTAATTCAGTGGTAGCTGATAGCTGGTATCTGGAATCCAGGTCCACACCTATTTCTATCCCAGTAGGTAGTGAGAAAATTGATGGCTCTTGTGCAATCTTTCCTTCCCGACTTTTGCTATACATTGTTGGCTATATACTTCTACTTCTACTTTGGGTTCTTTGATTTAACAGAGAGATGGGGAGAACAGAAATTTTAAAAGGCACATTTGCTACTTTCTCCCCGGTATTCAACGTATGCTGCAATTTTCTTTGGCACCAGAAATAAGCTTAAGGGCAAATATGAAAGTAATGGCAGCCCAAAGACGAAAGCCGATTCACACACCACTTCTGGCATTTTTTCCTTTTCCACAAAAACAATCTGTTGGTGGGTACTATGGGAATAGTGATTGACCTAAGAAGTCAGGCATCTCGGCTGTTCTGTTTTCCCATTTCCAAAAGTCCAAGTAAAATGAGACAGTTATATAAAGAGCCAAAGGGGAAATCTGTCCAGGTTGTGATTCACTTTCTGCCCAAATTTGAGCCTTCTGTTGAGTGAAGAAAGAAGCTACCAGGAACATGTAAACTGAGTCTGCGCAGAACAGGGAAAATAAATATTTTTTAAAGTTGGGTTTTGATAAATACTTTTAACATACTTTTAACAGTTTTATACAATTTCAACTTTTATTTATTTTTTTGCCTTTCTGTGCTTTTTGGATAAAACTCTGTTAAAGTAATAGGGATAAATAAATAAGAAATTAGCATTCCAATTATACTATTTAAACAAACCCAGAGAGGAAAAGCAAACATTTTACTCCATCAAGAATTCTAAATATTTAAATCAGTTTTTTGGGATGACTATATGATCCAAGATTCATGGCTTTTATAAATTACCACAATAGCAAATTGGAAAACAAAAAGAGATTAGTCCATTATTTTCCAACTAACTTTGGCTTTTAAAAATATGCTTTAAATGTGCAGCATTTTTCCAGGACTTGGAAAGTAAATCCTATTCCTGTCATGCTCATATAGGTTTTTCTAAGACTGTCTGCCTTATAATCTCTTACATCATGTACTCTCAAATGGAATGGTGACAGAAAATAAATTAAAACACTGAGGAAAAAGTGTACCAGTAATAGGCCTCCTAGCATAGTATTTCTTTAAATAAGAATTATTATCTGTCCCTCAGCTGCACACTCTCCTGTAGTGGTCATTTTTCAACATATCACTAAGAGGACTATAAACTCAGTGATGGCATGATACTTAGGTACCGCTAGCTTTTCCTGGTACCAAATGGATAGGTTGAAAACCTGCCAGGGAGAGATTGCTAACATATATTTTTTTTTATTTCACATATTATGGAGTTTTGGCAAGAGCAACATTGTTTTGGCAGGTTCTGCAAAGTTCAAGGGTAGGACAGATAACTTTTTTTTTGCTCTTTCCTGTTGGTCAACTGGAGGGGAAGGCTGATGGGTTGAGACTGTTTTCTGAGTTTTAAGATCAGCAGCAATCAAGATGATAGCATGACTAGTTTGGAAAATACAATATAGACATGGAAAACCCCTAAATTTAAATCACTGTAGAAATAGTGTGACTTTATTTATTTTATTTTATTTTTATTTTTTAAAGTTTTATACCGCCCCCTCTCCCGAAGGATTCGGGGCGGTGAACAGCCAAGATTAAGAAACATCCAATACAAACATTAAAATGCATTTAAAACAAAATTAAATCCAATGGCTTTCCCCAATTTAAAACCCCTTACCCATAAAATTCACCAATAAAAATTCTAAGCCAGCCCGGCTTGCCGAAATAAAAACGTTTTCAGAGCCCGGTGAAAGGTTCGGAGGTCTGGGATCAGTCGTATCCCTGGGGGTAGCTCATTCCAGAGGGCGGGTGCCCCCACAGAGAAGGCTCTTCCCCGGGGGTTGCCAGTCGACATTGCCTGACCGACGGCACCCTGAGGAGACTGTCTCTGTGGAAGCGTATTGGCCGGTGGGAGGTTATCGGTGGCAGAAGGTGGTCTCATAAATAACTGGGCCCTAAGCCATGGAGCGCTTTGTAGATGAGAACCAGTACCTTGAAGCGCACCCGGAAGACCACTGGAAGCCAATGCAGCTCACGCAGGAGAGGTGTTACATGGGAGCGCCATGTCGCCCCCATAAGTACCCGCGCGGCTACATTCTGCCCCAGTTGGAGCCTCTGGGTGCTCCTCAAGGGGAGCCCCATGTAGAGAGCATTGCAGTAGTCCAGGCGGGAAGTGACGAGGGCATGAGTGACCATGCATAAGGAGTCCCAATCCAGAAAGGGGCGCAACTGGCGTATCAGGCGAACCTGATAGAAAGCCCCCCTGGCCACGTCCGTCATATGCTCTTCTAAAGACAGCCGTGTGTCCAGGGGGACACCCAAGTTACGCGCCCTCTCCGTGGGGGCCAATGTCTCGCCCCCAATAGCCAGCGATGGCACCAGCTGGCTATATCGGGACGCCGGCAACCACAGCCACTCAGTCTTGGAGGGGTTGAGTTGGAGTCTGTTCCTCCCCATCCAGCACGGCCTCCAGGCACCGGGACATCACTTCAAGGGCATCGTTGGGGTGGTCTGGGATGGAGATGTACAGCTAAGTGTCATCAGCGTACAGATGGCACTGCACCCCAAAACCACGGATGATCTCACCCAGCGGCTTCACATAAATGTGATTTAGTTTCTGTGATCCACTTGGGGGGGGGCGGGCAGAGAAACCTTCTTCTACAATCTGAAACTTAACCCAAGCAAAACACAATTGTCTCATGTGATCCACGTAGATCTGTCAAGTAGAGGACATTTATTAAGACTCAGCTTTTCTGCCATGCACTATTTTTCATTTTTTTGTTGCCATTTAAATTCTGTTTAAATTGATAATTTTATTTTTAATTTTCTGAATTTGGGATTTAAGTTATAGTTTAATTTGGCACTATATAAATATCAAAAATAAATAGATTGTTTTTTTTAGTTAGGATTGCTTAACTGTAGTCTATTATATCAGCCTAAATTCATATTTCTAAAAGTTGGAAAAAAAATAATTGGCATAGTTGAAACTATGCCTTCAGGATGAAATGCAAAGAAAGTTTGCTTATAGGCTTAGTATTTTGCATTGTAGTTTTAATTCCCACAAAATAAATTACTGTTTACCTTGGATTTATTACCTGTGCATTCTTTTGCTGATGTACAAAGGAACTCAAAGAAGTCACAGTAATCTGTTTCCAGGTTCTTGCTATAATCTGTGCCACTTTTCAGAAGAACACAAATGAGCTTTTGTATTATCTCCATTTGTTATCATAGCTTCCATTTCAAATGTCAATACCTTCTCATTAATTTTATGGCCTTTTCTGACTCTCAGCCTCACTTGTCCATCAGCTGCCTGCTTTGAAAATGATTAAGCATTAACAATTGTAATATATATTTTTGTAGGTTAAATAACTGGGAGCTCCTTAGGAATATTTTATAGAAGAATATAAAGTTATAGACTGAAAAAAGAAAAAAAATATTAAAATACAAAATATACTGAATAAAAAACCTATTCATAGCAGGAATTCAGTGTACCTCTATTAGGTCTCAACAGTTTCTGATCACCATTGCTATGACCCAAAATGTATCCGCCTTCCTGGAGATTTTTCAGTCATTTCCTAGAGAATTGCCTTTTGGAATCAA